CGCGCTGGGCACCGGGACAGGCCGGGGAACGTCACCGGGCCCTGCCGGTATCCCGGGACAAACACGGGGACGGGTCCTGACCCCTCCCGGTGTCCCGGGACAAACACGGGGACGGGTCCTGACCCCTCCCGGTGTCCCGGGACAAACACGGGGACGGGTCCTGACCCCTCCCGGTGTCCCGGGACAAACACGGGGACGGGTCCTGACCCCTCCCGGTGTCCCGGGGCTCTCCCGGGCACAGCCCCCGGTTCCCCCCGTGCCCTGGAGGCGCCGGGTCCCGGCTTTGCTCTATCCCGGGCTGCTGCCAGCCCTGCCCAACCCGGCCGGGATCCCCCTGGAATTCCCGGTGGATCCCCCTGGCATTCCGGTGGATCCCTCTGGCATTCCGGTGGATCCCTCTGGAATTCCGGTGGATCCCCCTGCCCGGGTGTTGGGCTCAGGGGGATCCCCCTGTGCCACCCCGGGCTCTCCCAGCAGAATTCCCTGGTGCCAGTCCCGCCCTGGGCATCGCTGGCAGCTCCCGGGATGAGCTGGAAATCCGGGATGTGCTGGAAATCTGGGATGTGGCAGAAATCCGGGATCGGGTCAGAAATCCGGGATGTGGCAGAAATCCGGGATCGGGTCAGAAATCCGGGATGTGGCAGAAATCCGGGATCGGGTCAGAAATCTGGGATCGGGTCAGAAATCCGGGATTGGGTCAGAAATCCGGGATCGGGGCAGAAATCCGGGATCGGGGCAGGCTTCCCAGCCCTGCCATGCTCAAACTCCAGGATTCCCCCCAAGGCCCCATTCCCGTGGATCCCGGCGGGATGAGGATCCAAACGCTGCCGTTAATTCACCGGCTCCATCCCGGGAGCAGGAATTGCTGCCTGCCGGGCTCATCCCGGGTTTTTTGGGAATGTTCCAACCCGGAGCTCCCCAGGGCAGGCGGGGAAGGGGAAATTCCTGCTGGGAACCCCCAGGAGCTCGGGAAGGGGATGGGAAGGATGGGATTGTCCCGTTCATCCGTGGGCTGCACGGAGCTGCTGGGATTTCCTGGGATTTGGTTCCGCTGCTCCCAGTCCTGGAGCTGTTGGGATGAGGTTTGGGAAGGGAAGGAGCTCCCGGGGAGCTCTGGAATCCCTGCCCTGATCCGTTAACCCCAAATCCATCCCGGCCTGGGGAAAAGAGCGCTGGGAACACCCTGAGCCTCACCCGAGAGAACCTGGGGACAGATCCCGAGGGCAGTTCCCAGCAGGAATTTATTTTTATTTTTATTTTTATTTTTATTTTTATTTTTATTTTTATTTTTATTTTTATTTTTATTTTTATTTTTATTTTTATTTTTATTTCTATTTTTATTTTTATTTTTATTTTTATTTTTATTTATTTTATTTTTTTAATTTTTATTTTTTTTTAATTTTTATTATTATTTTTATTTATTTTTATTTGTATTTTTAATTTTTATTTTTAATTTTTATTTTTATTTATTTTTAATTTTAATTTTTTTAAAATTTTTTAAATTTTTTATTTTTATTATTATTATTTTTTATTTATTTTTATTTTTATTTGAATTGGTGCTGCTGGAGGTGGTGAAACCCCAAGGGTGGGAATTCCAGGGGGGAT